CAGAAATAGAATCGGGACCAGGTCTCTAATTAGTCTGGAAATGGGGGACCTAATTCTTGCATTCTGTGAAAACGGGTAAGATTGGCTATAATGTAATTATCTTAATCTTCACTATCGTTACTTTTTAAAAACCCAGCGAAGCGGGTCCTTGCAGCTAGATTCTAGATTACTTAGAAAAACAGTCTTTTATATATAAAAACAACTATATTACATACAAATGTACGAACAAATAAAAACCCAGCGAAGCGGGTCCTTGCAGCTAGTATAAGATATAAAATTATCAACAGTATTTACAAGATAATTCATATGTAGATCCTGGCAAAAATCTTTAACTGTTTGATAGAAACATGTTGTTTTCTGTTCATTTAACAAGAATATGATAGAGGCATAATTTGTGCATACTGTACTGTACTTGAACGTAAATTCATTGATGACATCAAAAAGTATTTGATTCCAGACTGATAATTGTAGATGCATCAGAAAATACTGATGATGGTATCGAATAGTTTCCGATTTAAGCCCCCCAGACTTTCTCATAGGGAGGTGCAACTAAATATAAAGTTTATGTGCACCCAGCAAAACCTGCAAATACTTCAAGAGCGCATTATAAATGCAATGAAAGAAACTTCAGCAGCAATCACAGAACGTATTATTGGTGAATTCTATTATCCTTAAGAGAATTTGTTTCTCCAGGCAAACATGTTAAAAATTCTAGTTTTTAATCTACCTACTACAGTCGACCCCCCTATAATTACGGTCCCAATAATTACGATTCCTATAAAACTGCAAAAAAATTGTGACGGTATCCTAAAAAACGGTAAAAAACCCCTTATAATTACGTTAAACGTCATCGGGCAGCCGAACTACTTTCNCCGTTTCCGTTTTTGAGGAAACGAAGCAAGTAGCAGTTGAAGTTGCCATGAGAGGTAAGAATCTCTGTCAGAGCATGGGTTGTACTCAGAAAGGTAAGGCGGGTTCTTTGACAAACGTCAGGAAGAAAACTGTGAGTAATGCGCCCAGTGAGGCTGCTGTCCCAGTCTTTCTGCCACTTTGTCATGATGATGGTAGAGATCTCTTTGCTCAGGTGGGAGAGTGGAGCTGAAGTGTAGGAGTAATGAGAGGTCAGTTTATGAGCCTTTTTTGCAAGCTTATTTGCTGTTTCATTACCACTATTACCAGAATGGCCTCTGACCCAGAAGAAGTTGATGGTAGTAACTCCTTCTAAGGCACTAATTATATCAAGACTGTTGAGGATAATTGGTAGTTTACGATTTTCTTTCCTAATCTGTTGCAGTGCGGTTCGACTGTCACTGATGACATTAATTGCAGATATTAAATCTTCCTCTATGAAGCTATTGTTGAGTGAATTATTAGTTTCCTCGACAGTCATGATGTCTGGATGCTGAGTAGTTACTTCAATGAGGCAGAAGTGAGGCTTGAACAATCTAACGGAACAAGTGTGATGCACGTAACCTAGCTGAAAGGCTAGCTGAATGGCTGAGAGGAGAAATGCTTTATACTAAGCAGTCTTTTACCAGTACTTGGAATGAAGTGACTAATAAGAGTCTTTCACAGAAAAGTGAACAATGGGAAAAATCAAGTCTTCCTTAAGGGAGCCAATACACGATAACGCTGAAAGGCGCGGTTCGCGCTGACTGGTTAAATTGAAGAGATACGTGAACTGTACACAAACAGTGAACGCCCTGGAGACAGTACCGATAATACACGGAAATATAACGAGTACCGTACCAGTAAGGTACTCGTTATATTTCCGTCGACCGAGTTGAGCCGCCCGCCGATCGGCTAATCCACGCCTAATGGCTAGGCAAACCACGTGGAGAAGTACTTGTCCTTTGTTAACGGTACTTTGTTTTCGAATCGCGATATCACGACTAATAATTAATATATATAAATCAACTTTGTAGAATACATTACGGACGTGACAGAAGATATAAAACGGTCAAGTGTTCGGGAAAAACCCAAATAGGCGATCAGCAGTGGGCGATCAGAGTTCGGCAGATTCAGTCGAGAATAACTTCTGATGGAGTGAAACGATTTCAATAACATGGTACTCACGGATAGTCTGTTGATTCCTGATTCGAACGATGTATAACACTTCACTAGATAATCCAAAAATCCAACTGTATCTCGATCCAAGGTGAGAGCGCATATAGATCACACCACCTACGCGAAGAACACTCAAATATAACATCACAATAAGAGATGCTCCAAAACTTGTATGCCAGATTGCATGTGATTTTAATAAAATTTATATTACATACCAAATTTAAATGCTATGTAACACAAAAGATACAAAGTGTGCAACATGACCCCTCATATAAAAACCGTAAAATATCTTAAAACAATAAATCAACGAAACGTTCCTTCTATTGGTATATATTTTGAAGTGTAAAGAGAAAAGATACAAAGCAAGAAACACTGAAAAATTAACCATTTCCATGTTATGGTATATTGAACAGTCTTTGAAATCTGAATGACCCCATCTGACACGGATTATACAATTTTTCAAACAAGAAATACATTTGTAATTCGAATAATACTTGGAAATTATAAATATAATTACTTTCGCCATGGGGATGATGAATTGAATTGTAATTTGTTTTCTGAAAGTTTGTTTTGATAGAAAAAATTTTCTTTGAAGAAGTTAAGACATAACGTAATTTATATTATTGATCGATAAAAATTTTACAGATTTGTTTTAATTTATTTTTAGCAATCAATTCCTATTCGCTACAAGACTCTTCATTTTGTCAACTGCAATAAATATGTGAGACTACTTTATGCAATGTTTTCTCCGCTTCTACCTCAAAAAATGAGAGAACGAGTAAGTATATTATTAAATTTTTAATTAATCTATATATATATATGGACATGTATAATTTTGCCCTGAACGCAATTAGATACTCTATTTCTAATATGAAAAGTATGATGTATGGGGTAAAACATTACTAAACTCTAGGCAGACAAGTGCTATGTGATACCTCTCAGTGATGGCATAATGGCACGTCTATTTCGTGCTATATCATTGTCGCAGTAATTTGGTGACTATAATATACATTTTTTAAAAATTACATCCTTTTTTGTAAGATTTGTATTTAGTTAATTATTTTGTTTATTTTTCCAATAGATGGAAATGAATCGATTCATACAAATCCATTCTAAGACTTAAGATAGGGTTTAGGACATTATCTAAGTTGGAACTATTTGAACGTAAGTGCCGAATTTCATAGCAATTGGTCGAATAGCATAGGCGAGTATAGGGAACAAATAAAAAAAAACAAACAAACGTCCATATACTAGTAGATGAGCCCGCTTTGCTCAGGCAAAAGTTACGATACCGAAGATTAAGATTATTACATTATAGCCAACCTTACCCGTTTTCACAGAATGCAAGAATTTGGTCTCCCTGTTTTCAGACTACTTAGAGAATTTTTGGAAGGGTCTAAAAATATGTTCGATTTCCTGCAAAAAACGCAAGCGCCTGTAAATCTTGTACGTCGTTTCTCTTAACACTTCCATTGTTACTTAACACTTCCATTGTTGAAGCCTTAATCCTGGGAATTTCGAAAAATCCCTTCTTAGAGTGCGTCTTCGTGACGTACCCTAACTTTGTACCAAATTTCAATTTTCAACTCCTAACCGTTTGGGCTCTGCGCTGATTATTATTATTATCAACCCGTCTCGATTATATATATAGATATATATACATTTTTTTAACAGTGTATTAATTTATGAAAGTCACGTTTAGAGCCCATGTGTAATGGTTTTAAAAGATTGTACGCATTTGAAATCTTGATCAACTCTTATAAAATAATGCAGTTATCATTAATTATAATTATAATTTAAGCTTTAAAAGTACANTGCAACCAAGAGGTGATAAGAAATATCTCTTATTCCCTTCTTGTTGATACTAACGTCTATAGAATAACTGTTAAACAAATAGAGATGATTTTCATATTTTAACATTCTCCGTTTTTTTCTTGTTCGAGGAGAGCGTCTCGGTCATTGACCGTAGAAGTCCCCCTTTTCTCTTTTACTAGGAAAATTCCTAGATTTGTACTGATCTAAAACAGAAAAAGAGTTTCGGACCTTCACACTAGTGCTACGAATGAAATAATTATATTTATGGTAATTACAGGGTGGTATGTAAATCTAGGGGAAGACAAAAGCAAGGGAAAGCAGGAGCCATTGGAGGCAGAACCGAACGATGACCACAGGCAAGAGTTCCAATCACTGAAAAACTTTCTCTTTCCTTCGTTAAAACAAGTAAGAAGAAACGTTGCGTTTAATGGTTTCCAGATGTTGACAACAATTTACAGTAAGGATGAGGGTGGTAGAAAACATTTTCTAAGAATACTTTCAATCTTCTGTCATAAAAAAAGGGGGACATTTGGGTACGGTTGGAATCATTGAGTAGGCCTATAAGTTTATGGAACTCAGAGAGCGGTGGCACGACATGGATTAAGAATCACTGGCCTAGAATGACTGTTTCTTAACAGGGTGGCCACTGCCCCCTGAGGGTCCATAAGAAGTTCGCCGGGAGCCGCCAAATTATGCAAAATTTCCTTCAGTATATAATAAAAAGAAAATTGAGTTCTAAGCATAGAAGTTCAAGGAAATACAAAACCACAATGCGTCATATGCGGTGTAGTTCTCTTCAATGAAGCAATAAAACTAAATAAATTCTTGAGCAATATAAAATTTAAAAACAAAACGCAGGATATTTTATAAGGAAAATTGACAAATTAAAAATTGAAAAAATGCTCATAAATGTGACAAGTACTAAAAATAAGGAAGTATTAAAAGCTTCATTTCTTGTAGCTCTTTATCAAAACAATTATTTACAATAGCCGAAAAATTATTAAAACCTACCATCTTTAAAATTTGTAAAGAACTATTTGAATCATTTATGTCAAACAAAATTAAAGAAATACCTATGTCAAACGATACAATTTGTAATAGGACTATATTGATAGCTAATTATCTTCGGGAACAGTTAACTAGCAATATTATTAATTAATTAATTTCAAAATTCTCATTGGTTTTCATTGCAAATAGATGAATCTATAGACATTGCAGATTCAAGATCCATACAACAATTATAAAAGCACCAATTTATTTGTATTAATTACAATGTACCAATTAAGTACATATTTTTGTGAGGACCTAGATCATCTGTCATCCACCAGTTAAGATTTCTTGCTTTATTTTATTACTTTCAGAAATAAATCGTAATATATCGATGAGTTTTAAATGAACATAAAAATATGGTTTACATTTTTATTAAGTTTAAAATATTATTATATTTTATATTATATAATATTATTTAATTATATAATTTATATATAACTAACATATATAAAATAACTTAAACATGTATATATAAGTACTGTAACATATCAAAACGAAACAAACTAATTAACATTGCATAAAATTTTATTACATTTAATTACAACAAAACCTAATTCTGGAAATGGCTGAAATCAAAGTTATGTTTTCTAACATAAAATTTACCTTTCCTTAAAATGAAATTCAAATGGCATATTTTAATTTGAAAACTTCATTCGGAATGGTTTCTAAAGTATTTTAATTATTTTTAATAGACGTACAATAATTGAAAAGTACACTACGCTACACTATGGAAAGTATTTACAATCTTACTTCAAATCGCAACTCCAAGTCAAGTTTAAATACAATTTAGAAAAAACTACTATATGATATATACATGAAACCACCTATGAAAAATAATATGCCCATAATTATGCAAATTAATTTCAAGCATTTTCATTCAAATATGGTTTAATGGAATAGAAGCAAATAACTGTTATTTGACTTTCAGATTCGTTTGTATGGTTCAGATTTCACAGAACTTCACCAAGAAATCAATCCCAAATATCTTCCTGCAGAATTTGGTGGCATGTTATCCTCCTTTGATACTTCTGGATACAATCAACGATTGAGAGACAATGAAGAATTTTTTATAGAAAATGAAAAATATTGGACTGAGGAGAAGAATATTTAGGAGCAATGAATATGAAACTTGAAAGTTCTTCGTAACGAATTTGATGTAATCATTATTATTTTATTGTAATGTCTTAGCTTATAAATTTTACATAATAGAAATAAAATTCTATTGTAATTGTTTTTTTTCATTTATTAAAAATTTATTGCATAGTTATAAAAACTTATTAAGCATAATAATTTAATATCTATTCTATTTTATTTTGTGTATTAAATTTTACACTATTTTTTTCTCTATATAATATATATATATGTATATATAATAAGGTATTTAATTCTTCATGACTTCAAACTGAATGATCATTATATTTCAATAAATACTTACTGTACATCCTGTTGTTTGGTTTAAAGGGAATATCATAGAGGCATTATTCAGCGTGCTTCAAATGTACTTCAAATATCTTTTGCGTGCTTCCTCTTGGGTTTAAATATTATTCGTTATTATTGAAGGTACAGTTCTTCATTGTTTACTAAACCTTATTTTAATTAATACTAGCAACGCCGGAATTTCTATAATTAAACTCATTTTGAACGGTAATAGAAAAATTGCAACTTAAGTCTGGTGTATTGATTATTACATGTGTTTGTATTATACACATTTTTGAATGTAGAGGAGAAGGTAGTATTATGGAACACTGCGGGTATTATGGAACCACCCCATTTCGAACTGATAATAAAGGCGAACTGTAGCGGAATGTGGCTGAACTGAACTAGGCAGACATCCATAGCAAGAAGAAAACCCGTTTTACTTCAGTTAAACAGTTGTCCGTATTTAATCAGCAAATTTGTTTTTTTCAAAATTCGCAAGTTTTGAATGCTAAGTGAATTTAATTATTTTTAAAATATAAATCGTGTAGTTGTAGGTTCACTGGTGCATGTATTCCGT